TACTTTTACTCTGCATGAATTACCTTTTACTCTTTTACTTTCTCCATTAAAAAACTACAAATTTTTTACTTTAACAAATAAAAAGATTTTATTTATATTTAATAAAATAATGATTATCGTGATAAAATTTAGCATTTATTAAAGTATCAGAAGGATCCTTAGAATATATTTCATATAATGTGAGATCTTAAATTTCATACCTGAAACTCAAATATACTCTGAAGTATATTTTAGATAATGTGAGACGTGATAATTATTACTACATAAGAAAAATGGGAAGGTAGTTTTAGGACGGAGAAAAAAGAAAAGTGAACTGCAACTAACATTTTTGGAGTGCATTTATCAATTCCCATTCATTTATTACAAATACAAAGAAAGTAGTAACTTTTTTTTATTAGCAAATCTACCCTGCTACACCCAGAAATAGCTAAGAGCCCTTTCACCCATCCCCTTCATTACTTAAGTGCTTCTAGCTACCCGGCCCATACTCACAAGTCACAAGTCACAACCGAGGTAGCTAGCTAGTAGTCTTTATTTAATTTCCATAACAAGCTTTATGTTTTTTTTCATTAGCTTAATTAAGTTCCATCAAAACTTATTACTGAATTGGTATTATTCCCTCCGTTCCTTTAAACACTTCCTATTTAGACTTCGGGCCAAAATAAGAAAAGTATAATTTAATTGACTTTTCAATTTTGCCTCTGATATGATAGATAAAAGTAAGATATAAAAGTTTGGTTATTTGTGAAAAAGTATCATGTGATCGGTAGGGTATGAAAAAATAGGGGTAAAAGTGGTTTTTTAATATAAAGTGGAAGTGTTTTAAGAAATTGGATATAAACGAAAGGAGAAGGATTTTATGGAACGTAACGGAGAGAGTATTAAATATTGAAGGAAAATCCCCATATGTATAAGGATTGGAAGAGATAATGGTATCAGAGCTAATGTTTTCTGAAATCTAGACTCTTCTTTAAGACCGGACGCATTATCGATCTCTCACATTGTCGGTCTCTGTTCACAGCGTTGGATCAACCAAAAACATGGCATCACTGATCGATTTCGATGAGCGTGAATAATCACCGTCGTCCATTATCATTTCCTTTATCTCCAAAAAAATCATTAAATCCCTCTTTAAAAAAACACGTGTGTGATTGAATTAAGAACGAGAAAGTTGTAAGTGTACGTGTTTTCTAAAAGCTGAGAGCATGTAAAGCGATAGAGAAGCAGAGAATGTTCCGATCCAGAAGGAGAGAAAAAAGAAACTCCTCGCTCTCGCTCCAATCGTTAACACTCTCACCCTGAACGAAACCCTGCAGCAAACGTAATTTTAAGCTTAGCTTGTTCATCATGCAACGAAGTTCTGACTCTCTAGTTCTAGAGGTTATCCTTACAAATCTGCTTCTGACAGCTCCGATATCATGATACAATTTGATAGTAGTTGATCTTATTGAACAATGAAGGATACATCTGTATATATAAGAGTTACAAGAGAATATCAAGGCCGGCCTGGAAAGATGAAAAAATGAAATTGGTTCGGTCTGAAATTTACATTTTGGGTCCTATTTTATAACTCCGTATTTTAGAATACTTATACTTCAAAATTAATGATTAATTTAAAAATATGGGGTCCTAAAGTTTTAGGAAATTGTGTTGTTTGCCACTTTGCACACCCTCCGGGCCACCCATGCAAGAGATAGTTCTAATATAAGAAGAAATAGAATTAATTTAACAATACAATAAGGAAATAGTACAGAAAAGTAATAAATAATACTCGTAAAATGCTATTTCCTAACACAATATTTTATAGAATAAATCTAGAAGTACACCAAAATGAGATACTCATTTGTACACCAAGTAAACAACAATATGTGTGTGTGTGTATACACCCCCTTATCCATCACATCAAAAGACATTTTTAGAAAGTCAACACTAAAATACACCCTCTTAATCCTTTAAAAGTTAAAAGGGTGAATTTTTTAAGGGACACTAAAATACACCCTCTTAATCCTTTAAAAGTTAAAAGGGTGAATTTTTTAAGGGACGGAACTCACGGAAGGAGTATATATTATTGGATGTGTATCGATCTCTCTTCATTCTGTCTTTATAATATAATCAATCTCTTCCGATCCGATCCGATCCCCTATAGATAGATAGCTAACTCAGCTCCATTATTATATTATTGCATCTTCATTCTCCACAAGCACGACACCGTGTATATATATATATATGATGATGATGATAAAGCGTCATCGTCTTCATCGTCGTCACCAACTCGTCGTCCTTGTTGTGGCCTTTGCCGCCACTACGATAATTTGCTTCGCCCAAGCCGCTCGTCCCGCCGCCGGCAACAACAACAACTCTGCTGCTGCTACTAGTACTACGTTGTTGAACCCCTCCTTTCTCCGCGACAACAAAGCCCGTACGTACCATACGTGTCTTATATATCTATCTATCTATCTATCTGTACATTTTATATACGTAGTATGTACTACGGTCTACGTATATTATGTGTACACACACACACACATATATATATATAGGCGTATTAATGTGCGTGGGTGGGTGGGTGGGTGGGTGGGTGCAGGGTGCTTGAGGGGAAACAGAGCATCCTATAGCTTTGTCAATGGCTCCGGGGATGGACTCAACAACTGGCTCGTCTTTCTTCCCGTAAGTAAACTAAATATAATTATATTAATGAAATGCTTAAAATGAGGAATTATTAAAATTACTGCTGGTGTAATTTGGGTTTGGTTATTAATTATTAATTAAAACCTGCTGCAGTGAGGTGGGTGGTGCGAGAACTTCACGTATTGCTTGGACTACGGTTTCAATCGAAGCACACCCCCCATCCCATTTGCACCCTATAACTATACTGGTATAGCCAGCATCCACCAACTGGATAACCCAGGTCGGTGAGGTACACATTATTTCATTATTTATTTATTTATTTACATCCACATTATTATTTATTACTATACTACTCCGTAATAATTAATGATGAGTTAATTACGTTGAATTTGCTTCCGATTGGGATATAATTAATTAATACATGCACTTAACAATTAATTACTCCACTTACTACTACTACTAATAAAGCTCTGTACGTACGTGTTTTAATTACTACTACGTATTTGTTAATCCAATCCGTATATAATTAATTACTCCGTATATATGTGCAGAATTCTACAACTGGAACAAAGTTGTAATCCGCTACTGCGATGGCTCCTCCTTCACCGGCAACTCCAAACTCTCTCTAAATGTAAGCTAATCACTTCTTAATTAATTAGATACCCACACTATTACTCACACTAGCTAATACTAATTTTTTTTTTTTGACTTTGGTCGAAGAATAAAACACTATATTTCCGAGGAGCCAGAATTTTCAAAGCAGCAATGAAAGAGCTGCTACACAAGGGAATGGCTTCTGCTACCAATGTATGTATGTGACAATTATTACAGTATTAATTACCCATCTCATTTCTTTATATAAAAAAATCAAACCAAATGTATAAATATATATACTTTTCTTTGAAATTAATAATAATAATACGAGTATTTAAAATAATTAATGTGTGAGGGTTATACATATGTATAGGCTCTTCTGGCGGGTGAGTCAGCAGGAGGGGTTGCCACGATGCTCCATTGCGACAAATTCAGAGACCTCTTTCCCAGCTCCACTCGGGTCAAGTGCCTCTCCGACGCCGGATTCTTTTTCCCCGCGTACGTGTATTTCATTAGTTCATTAACTAACTAATTACTCCGTCCCTGATTTTTGTTACAATAATTATATGGATCTATCGGCCGAGAGTATAAATTAATTTCTACTTTTACATTTGCTCGTCTGATTAATTATATTCTTAACAGGAAGAGGCATAACTATGGGACTCAAAGCTATTTCCTATCCATCTTTCAAGGATTGATCCAATTACACGTACGTATTCATCATGCATATATATCTTTCTCTCTGTGTTTAATTATATTACTCCGTATATATATTATTTACATTTTCCCTACTCACTCCACTAATTAAGTACTGGTAATTAATTCAATCGCATTTTATTACGTACGTGGTTCATCAGCGGTCGGGCAAGGCCTTGCCCAATTCTTGCACGCACAAAATGAGCCCTGCTGCGTTGGTATGATTTTAATTATTTTCTCGTCTTAATGATTTGATGTCAACAATTAACGTTTTTTACTTTAATTTATACGGCTCCATTTCGTTCTGACACTGATTTATTTTGATTATTTTATTTTTTATGGACCAGTGCTTCTTTGCACAAAATGTGGGCAAATATATTAAAACGCCCATATTTTTCATAATGTCTGAATTCGACTTTATTGAGGTAAGTCAATTTTCTATATGACGTCATTGAATCATACTGTGCATACGTGGGTACGTAATAGCAATATTTAATGATTTTAACTCTTTTGTTGAATTATTTAGACTTCGTATACTACGGGATTGGGAAAGTCTTATTACGATGTTTGCGTGAATGCCAAAAATTGTTCATCCACTCAAATCAAAATCATGCAAGGTTAGTATTTATTTCAAAAGTCTATATACCATACAGCTTAGTGAAATTTGCATTAAATAGGACTAAAACATAATGACTTTCTTAATGTAGGACTTAAACTTTTTTATTTCCTAAATAGGACTTAATAATAACCTAGTAAGAGAAATAATGTCCAGTAATGCTAGACATTTACTTGAATAATGACTACTTGATAATGACCAAAAGTCCTACATTGGGAAATAAAAACATATGGTCCTATATTGGGAAAGTCATTATGTACGTTTTAGTCCTATTTAGGTAAATTTCTCTACAGCTTATGCGATATACTTCATAGATAAGAGAGAGAGAGTAATAATATTGGCTTTGATTTTTTTTTCCTCAAATAAAAACACGGTTTGCTTCCTTATTATTTACCCATAAACTATTTTGACTACTAAACATGCTTGATTATATATAATTTATATTTAAAAAAAAGGACAACCCCCATCTCCAAAGATATAAAGATACGCTATTATTAGAAAATGTGGTGATACTTTTCAAAATAAAAGGATATTTTTGACACTGAGATTATTGTTTAATTACATATTTACATGTTAATTGCTTTGTTTTTTTTTTTTGCGCTTTACATATAACCCACTGTTTAATTACATTATTTTACTTATTCTTATTGTAGATTTGAGGAAGGAACTATTGGACGTGTTGCCAAAAGAAAGCAATGCTTCTTCTACTACACCAAACGGATTCCTAATCCTATCCAATCCCGCTCATACACATCTTTTACAACCTACTTGGCATGATGGTGCCATTTCTGGGACTCAAGAGGTCGTAGCTTTAATTACTTACGGAGTATTAAACAATTTTTGAACAATTAAGATCTATCGTATAATAATAAATTAGCTTGATTTGATTTTGTTTTAAATTGAATAGACGATCGCGAAGCAGTTTGGAGATTGGTATTTTCGTGGAAAAAGTTTGCGATTCATACAAGATTGCGCACACCCCTATGGCTGCAATTGAAAGCTCAAGCATGGAACACGTTTAACATCTACTCCGTATTTATTATCTTTTCCTTTTATTTTCTATGACATATTTCTACGAGTACTTTAATTTTTCAGAAAAATGAAACTCCTGAGTTTCACTTTGTTGTAAGATATTTGTGGGAGCTGAGTACTTTATTTTTATTTAAAATTAGTTTGTATGACATTATAATTACTTTATTGTTGTTATTGTTATTTTAGAAGTTGTGTAGAGTTAATTAGAAAATTTATATATTTAAATGTTCTATGAATATTTTTACAAAGTAAGAGATGACATGATTATATACGTCTTAACAAAAATTTAAGTCAATGAAAGTAATATCAATTGCAGAACTAAATTTTTAATTAGTCGCTCACTAATTTATACTCCCTCCGTCTTCGAAAGGGTGTCCCTTATTGACTTTTTAGAAAATTAAGGGAATGATATTTTGGTGTTGACTTTCCAAAAATACTCTTGATGTGATGAGTAAAAGTACGATGTAATGGATAGATTATTAGTAAAAAGTATGATTTGATAGATAAGATATGAAAAAGTAAGGGGTAAAAATGGTTGTTTAATATATAAGAGCCGAACGAAGGAGTTAGTGAGATAAGAAAAAAAGAAAGGTGAAAGAGTTTAATTAAGGGACGGAGAAAGTATTTCTTTAGCAAGTTCTTACAAACATTACATAAAGATTGTGATATTGAGAGTTAATTAATAGAAATTTAATTTAAGTATCAGTAAGTGAAAACAATATCAATTTTAGAATTCAATTTTTATTTTGATTAACTTAATTATGTTTTCTATGTAAATATGGCTAGTGATAATTTTATTTTAAACATTTGAAAATGAGTTCAATATTTTCTTTTTTGATTTTTTTGTGTAAATTAAAAAAGATTTTCTTGATATTTTATTCGGGCCGGACGGGCCGGTGGGTAGTTCGGCCTGCTAAGGTGGGCGGGTATGGGTAAAGAGTTTAGCCCATCAAATCCAGGCCGGCCAAGCCCGCCCATGCAAATGGGCTAATAATTTGTATTAAGCCCGACCTGGATCCTTATTTGCATAGTTCTAAAACTATGTCATACTCCGTACTAAATAATGAATGGAGCTCACACCTTATTTACTCAAACCAGGCCCCATCGAGTTTGATCATATTCAAGACCTTTGTTGTCTAGACCTTGAGGAGCACCAGTGACTCTCATTAGAATTAATCTACCTATAAGAATTCTGCAAACTAAACTCAATGGTAGTGTGGCAAGTCATGCCATAGGAATAAAGAGGTTAGAGCCATGTGGTAGTTGTTGGGTTCAATTACTACTCGGGTAAAAACGTGCGCACGAGAATCTATGAATTGTCGTTGTACCTAGTTACACAATGCTTGTGATGTCATTTATGTTAAGTTATGCATGTATGCATGATAACGTATGGTGTTGTGAGCTAGTGATTTCATTTATATGTATAGTTGAATATTAGACATTTCTCACTTAGCATCATTACTGAGCGTGTTCTTTTACTACCCGTAAGTAATCAGAGTCAAGATGAATCTGGACCCAATTCTAGAGGGCGGTGAAGACGAAGATATGTGTGTGGGGATTTTTGAAGACTTGAATTCTTATTTTTTTCTTAATATATAACTTATGAAATATTTGCACTAAATAGCACTAAAACTTAAGTCATTTCTCTAAATAGCACTTAAATTATTTTATTCCTTAATAAGTAGCACTTAATAATGTCCATAATGTCTAGTGATGACAAATATTTACTTGAATAATGACTAATGCATAATGACTAAAGTGCTATATTGAGAAATAAAACACATATGATGCTATTTAGGGAAAATTATTATGTTTTAGTGTTATATACGTAAATTCCCCTTAACTTATTACTTTTACGAGTTTGATTCCTAAGTCATGTTTTAAATGTTGACTTAAGCTTTTGCACTGAATTTAATTACTCTGATGAATGTTTAAATTATGCTTTGGATTATTTATTTAAATTGTTTCTAAAATGATTCGTGTTTGGATGCCAATTTTATAGCAACCTGATCCGCTGAAACATGTATTCAGGTTATGCTGGTTGGGGTGTTACATTCACAATTTACATATGCATGTTATATTTACGGAGTACATACAATCAGTCACAGAGCGGCCTAGCGTGGGATGAAACACCTACACTTATCGTCATACAAACATACTAGTCTCGGAGTACATCCTCGACGATTAAAATAGAAACAAAGTTTTCAAAACAGAAACAAATTTTTCAAAACAAAGCGTGACAAATGAATTACGTTCAAATTGATGATTACACTTTATACAAAACAAAATAAAGTTCCAAATTTTTTCAATTTATTTTATTTGAAGATGAGTATAAAAAAATAAAACTTTTATGTTTAAATATACATAGAAAGCTATGATCTACAAAACAAAAGATGATAAAAATATTTTATTTTATCAAATAATCAATGAAAACATACAAATAAATAAAAAATCTCACGATTTTTAAATAGTAAAATATACAGTATAAATCATTTAGGGACGGATGGAGTATAATATTAGAACAAATTAAACAATTAAATCATTCACACTCTGGTTGCAAAAGATTGATAACAATTAAACCATGCTTCGAGTATTATACTTCGTATAAGATATGTATACACTTCAATGGAGGATAGTATACATCACTTTATTATATCGATCGACAATTATTCCACACATCATCCTGAGAGTCCCAAAAAAATTCATCCCATGAGGCTGTATAATCGTAGCTTGGAAGCGTAATCCATACCCAATAATAATAACAATTTGATCCCAGCGCTCTTATCTGTGAGCAACACTGAGAAGTGAGAGGTTCAAATTTTTCATGATAATTTTGATCAAAACGCAACACATTTGACATTATCACTTTAGTGCACTCCTTGGATGGAGGGGTATATGATTTTGGGCATCTCTCCGGACTTTCGACTTCATCATGCTTTGCAAGTATTGTTGAGCTGCAACATGCAAAGAATAACATCACTACAAACAAATGTTCTTTGGAAATAATCATTTTTCCTCTCAAATCTCTTTTCTTGTTCTTCTGATCTTCAATTCTGTTTCTTCTCTTATTTATAGGTTAAAAAATTTGTGATGTAGTATGGATTACTGGATTGGATAATAAGACATTTGAGTTGAACTACATACATTAAAAGATTGATAACACAATCTGTTACTTAGGTCATTAATAAGCAATTTTATTATTACTCCGTATATATTACTCCGTAGTTTGCAAATCAAGACTAATGCATCGTAGTGGATCGTACCAGTTACATTCCTTTAATGTCTTTTTATGATACATCTCTAGTGAAATAGAAAACCAAAATGCATAATTAATAATGAACGTTTAAAAATCAATCACCGTAATTTTACAAGTATTAATTAGGGAAATGAATGTTGCCAGAGCTTCACCTTTTGCTTCAAATACATTTTCAAATTAAAATAGAAGTTTGCATTGTAATAATGTGTCACTGTATATACATCTGACATGATTGACATTACATTTACATTGTAACTCTTATTTTAGAAATAAAAATATGAAACTCTTACATTGATATGTTTTCAACTCCGTATATAGTAAAATCCAATGTGAAACTACTATGAAAAAAAGCAAACTGGCTACTCCATTTGCATCGGCTCCACTCAAAGCCGATGAAAATGGGGTTAAGGATTACACCCACTCGTTTTGTTTGGCATGAGTTATTAGTAATAACTGATGCAAAAGTACTTAATCTTTTGACGAAGAATTAATGATGGATAGAACCTAGGGAACAATGGTGAGCGGTGTTGGGTTCCTTCTTTCTTCCTCTTCTTCTTCTTCTCGCGTTCTGCTCCGATGCTAGCTTTGCTGTGTTTCGATCGGCGAAAAGGAAACAAGAGAGAGGAACGTGAGTTGTGCGTGTGCATAGGGCAGCGTGCGTGTGGAAACACATACTGTCTATTTATGGTCATAGGGTTTTGTTCTCTGTAATTTAATTAACATATCTCGATATAGAATATATTTTAACAACAATTTACTCCAAATTCAAATCTGTTTACACCGTTAGATTTATCTCATCGAATCCTACACAAAGGTATAATTTTATATTTTATTGACAAATACTTATGATTTATTTAAAGTCCGTCGTCTCAATCATTAATTAATTAATTGCCAAGATTACATAAATTATACTCCATCCGTCCCAAAAAGTTTGTTACGTTTAGAAAAAACTGTGTCCCATAAAGTCCGTTACATTTCTATTAAAAAATCACTTTTACCCCTTACTTTTTCATACCCTACCTATCACATCATACCTTTTTCCTAATAATCTACCCATCACATCCTACTTTTATCTATCACATCAAGGGTATTATTAGAAAGTCAATACCAAAATATTCCTTCCTTAATTTTCCAAAAAGTCAAACCGTCCGACTCTTTTTGGGACGGAGAGAGTATATCTTAGATTTTTTATCTTGGCAAGAGATTTTTTAAAACCCATTGCACCTTCTTCATCCTAACTATGCAAACATATATGGCCTATAAAAAGACAATGAAAAGAGTGCAGATGCCAATTAAAGAAGAGCTTTGTATCTTATGATGCACAACTTGGCCACGACAAGTGCAACTACGTACTCCTATTATTAAAATTATTTTTAATGGAAGTACTCCCTCCGTCCCACTGTCTTTGTCCACTTACATTTTGTCACACCATCCAATGCACTTCTTTAATCCATTTTATCTTGTAATTTGTATATTAAAAAATTATAAAAATTATATATTAATAATCTATATGTTAAGACGAATCAAACAAGATCACACATGACTATTTTTAGGCTTACACATTGAGAGAATTTGATGAGTCAAAGTGCTTAGATGAACAGTTCCAAAAGTCAAAACTGAACAAAGACAATAGGACGGAGGTAGTATTTAAGAAGAGTTTTTTGTTAAGATAAAATTTATTCATCAAACAACTCAACTCTTTTAAAAAATGAAGCATCTAGTGCACTACATAAGCTCTACATCACTTTTTTTTTTGATGAACAATTTTCTAAACACATTGTACTAAGGATGCTCTCAAGTCCCTTTTTTTAATAAATGTCCTAAACCGGGGTCAGTCTAAAATACACGAGAAGATGAAGGGCCTAAGGAGAAATATTTCCGCAGTGCCATGTTGAAAAACGACGACAAATCAATCACCGGGGTCCACCCCACTGTTTGGACCGCTCAAAGGAATAGTCGCCGAGTACACACACACACACTGCACACAGCTAAGAAGAAAATTCTAGAGAGAGACTGCAGAGGACTCGATTCTCGCCGGCGG